ATCAAACATCAAGGCATTGCTGCAAAACGATCAAATTTCGTGAACTCTGCTACGTTCGCTGGCGTGCTCGCTAGGCGAGTCTTCGCTGGCATGCTCGCTAGGCGAACAGTGCGATGACAGCAAAACCTGTTACGACCAGAACTGATTCTTTCCCAAATACTCATACGATTCACTTACCCAATGCCCCCAAATCATCCCTAAGGTTATACAACGATAACGACACAAAATCTATGGTTTATTAGGCCAATCTGGCAACATTTGCACTGCCTAAGTCACTATTTTCCTACAATTGCTCTGAGTGCATCAGAGTTACTCACATTTGAACATTCTTATTCCTACAGGGTCAAACATATCACAACCCAAGGTTCTGGCCACGAAGGCCTAAGATTTCCCTTTCTCATATCAATATTCAGTGTTGCATACCATAAGCCATAATCTCATAATCTTATCATCAATTTCCCTAATTCCTCAATTAAATGTTTAGGCCACGAAGGCCAAAGATCATTATTTCCCATCTTTACCCTTAAAATCTTTAGGTTACCCCCTCTATGATAGATCTAGGCCACGAAGGCCATAGGTCACTTGTTCTCATAACCTTCTAATCTTATCACGGTCAAAATCTCAACGATAGATTTTGGCCACAAAGGCCAAAATCCCATTTTTCTCATAATTCCCCCTAAAACCCCCAAACCAATCATAAACACATCAAAAGGCATACATAGAAAATCATGAACAATGATACTCCCCATACCTTAGTCGATTCAAAGCTTTAACGATTATCTCCGGGCATCTTCCGAAGCTTTTGCCTCCACTTCTCCCTCCTCAGAGCTCTGACCTCCATTCTTTTCACGGTTAACAAAATGAATCCTAAACCTTCAGAATTCTATTTTGGCAAACTTAGACTTGGGTCACACAATTGGACTTTCTCCATTATACCCTCACTTACTCTTTTCAATTGCCCAAATTACCCTTTATTCCTCTTATATTTATTTTAATTCATAATAATATTAATAAATTAATATTATATTCTATCAATTAAATAAATAACCCATAAATTGCATAATTCTCCATACTTCCACAAAACACCGAAAATCACCGGAAACACCCAAAATATGAATATTCTTAATTAAATAAATAAATTAAAATATTCCGATTAAATTTGGGGTGTTACATACCCTACCAAAATGCTTTCATGCCTCACCATAAGATGGATGCCGCATAGTGTCTGAACTTGTTTTGTTTGTATGATGCCACATCATTTGACTTGCATTATGCATTAAAGCAAACAATCTTTTTAACCTTGGTATTATCGGTAAATAAAATATGAACTTCACTACTACACGTTTTTGTTTACGGCTAATGACTTTACTATGAACTTGATATCTCGGACTTTTACAGAACTTACATTCATCCAGCGACCCATCATTAGTACCAAACTCATTGTCATAAAACATCATGCATCCATTTATGCAACAATCAATCTTTCTTACTTCTAAACTCAACTTCGTCACCAACCTCTTTGCATCATAATAACTTGTATGCAAGTTGTCTTTCGTAGGAGTCGCATCCAACATCATTTTTGCAAAGTATTCCAAGCACTGATCAGGAACATTCCAATTTGACTTTGCGGCCAATAATCTCACACACATTGATAAGTTTGAATTTTCCGACCCCTCAAACAACGGCGTATTCATTTCTTTCAACAATTGATAAAAAAATTTACGCTTCTCATTCGACAACTCTTCCCCATCAAAATCTTGAGGTTCATCATATGTCACATTTACTCCAAAGACATTGCCAACCATATAATCGATCAAATTAAATTGTTACTCAAATTCCATATGTGATCGATTGCTTGATGCGTGTGTATTAGTTGTCTTTGCATGTGCGTTACTCGGCAGGTGTTCTCCATTATATGTTCAAACCCAATAATTTTTATTGAAACTCTTCCTCTTCAAATGGCGTTCTACTTCCTCTGGGTCACTAATTATAGGTCTAAGTTCACATTTAAGACAAGAACATCTTAGTCCTCCTTCACTTCGACAATATTCTTGAGCAAATGTCCACATTTGCCTTGTAACGTTCTATCGTACATCCAACTACGATACTAACAAAAATATTGCATACTGCACATTTGTATTATCATTATATATCATTTTAATTAAAATGTGATTTTAATATATGCGAAATAATATAATTCCTTTCACATTGTTTTAAACATAACTATATTTCATACTATATCAAATTCTACATTTCATAAATACATATTATACATTTTATAATTATACTTAACATATATACTTACTTAAATAAAAATATTACTTCATATTTTAACCTAATACAAATAGAAATATTACTTAAATAAAAATACTCTACATTTTATAACATTGTTTTAAAAATATTTCCTTACTATAAAAATATATAAATACAAATATTACAATTCTATTTTTAATAAATCCACATAACATATTTTGAATATAAAATCTAGTTATACATTTTAACCTAATAAAAATAAACTTAATATTAATTATTTTCTAATTAATATTTTTTTATTTGTTTTAAAATTTTGGTTTTTAACAAAATATTTTACAAACTATGTTTGTTTTAAAATTATGTTTTTTAATAAATCTACATAACATATTAATATAACTTTTTCATATTAGTTATATACTTTCTTTTACAAGTAACTTTTTCTAAAAAATACTTTTTAATATAAATATTTCTATTTAATAATTAAATTTAATAAATTAATTTTATAATTCTGTTTAATAAAAATACCTTTTTAAAATCTATTTTTTCTAATTTTTTTTTATAATTTCTGTTTAGAAAAATGTATTAAATATAATTTATAAAATTCTATTTTCATTTTAAAATATATTAAATATAACTTATTAAATATAACCTTTAAAATATTTTAAATATAACCTATAAATTTTGCTGATTTTTTTTATAAATTCTATTTTAAAAATATATAAAATAGTTTAAAAAATATATTAAATATAAAATATAACATATATTTTATTTTTAATAAAAAATAACATATTTAAAAAATAAATAACCTATTTATTTCATTTTCACACAACAACCACCAATTACAAACAAATAAATAACATAAATAATCTAAATAACTTTATATATTTCATATATAACCTATATATTTTATTTGTACACATCAACAACCAAACAATCTCATATATAATTTCATTCATATAAATTTGAAAAATAAATAATTAAAATTACAAAAATATCTTAACGAAGCAACAATTAACTTTGAATCTTTGATCTTGCTTGATGAGCTCTTACAATCTATCAAATATTTTTCTTTAAACAACAAACACCAAAATTTAAAAATATTAAAATAAAATTAAAAACGAAAATAAAAATAAAAAACTAGATAGAAGCATGCCTTTGAATGAAGAAAGAACAATAAAGATGTGGAAATGGTGTGAGAGGCATTGTGGAGGAAAGAAGAGGAAGAGAAACAACATCTCGGTTGGTTGTGGAGGAAAGAAGAAGAAGAAGAAAAAGAGAAATTATGAAAAGCGACGAAGTGAAAATTCTGGAGCTGAAAACTAAAATATATATATGAGAATTTGCGACGTGGGATACGCTTCGGAACACAGTCACGTGAGAACCACGCCGGAAAAGTTGCAGAGAAGGGATTTTCACGTCGGAAATTAGTGATGTGATTCCTACGCTGCAAACGCTACAACGGTCAAATTTTTTGTTAGACCCATCATTTTCAAGACTGAGCAGATTTTCACTTTTTTTTTTTTTTTTTTTTTAATTTTTAAATTTCAGTTTGCGACGTGAGTTTCACGTCACAATTGAAAATCTGAAATGTTCAAATTTCCCCCACGTGAAAACGTATAGTTTGGATTTTTTATTTTTAATTCTTATTTTGCAATGTGGGAATCACTTCACAATTTTTTTTTTTAAATTCTTGTTAAACCTGAATTCTATTTGTTTAATAATATAATAATTTAGTGACGTGATATTCACGTCGCAACCATCATTATTTGCCACATGAATATCACGTCACTAAATCACGTGACAAATAGCATTGTTTTTTGTAGTGTTAGAATGTGTATTAATGCAGAGTGGTCAAGTGGTGGCGTATGCTTATCACCAGTTGGACTCATGAGGAGAACTATCCAACTCATGATCTTGAATTAGATGTGATTGTCTTTGCTCTCAAGGTGTGGCAACACTAGCTTTATGGTATTCGCTTTAAAATGTTTAGCGATCCTAAGAGTTCGAAGTACTTGTTTGATCACAAGGAGCTAAATATACGCCAACGTAGGTGGAAAGATTTCTAGAAATACTATGATTTTGAGTTAAAGTACCATCGTGGTAAGACTAACAAAGTAGTGGATGCTCTCAGCATAAAAGAGATGTATACGACATAATTGATGATCTCGAGTATGACCTTCTGGAGAAGTTTGGAGAAAGCGCACAAGAGTCACTTTACCTTCCACTCTGGTTCGACAAAGATATAACAAGACTTGAAAAAGAACTATCGGTGGCCAGAAATGAAGAAGGATGTTGCGGAGTATGTATCTCAATGTGTATTATATCAGCAAGTGAAGATTCAATACCAACAGCTGGGTGGCACGTTACATCCCATAGGTGGAAATAAATATGAATTGTATAGAAGTATTTTAATAGAAAATTAAGTGAAATACATTTTTTAACTATATAGATTTATATGCATTAACACCAACAAACACTTAATCTTTGTAGTGATCTGATATTATTTTTACCTGTTTCACAAATTAAGAACATGAAATTTACAGAGAAACATGAGCAATTTAAAAAGTGTACATAAAATTTATCTCGAGCACTGACAAAAATAATGCAGCAATCTCTTCAGAAGCTATTGTTAAGCTGCAAGGTAAGAAGGAAATTGAAAATCTCATTTAAAAGAATATAGAACTTTACACTTTTACAGTGAACAACGCCGAAAGTCTGCATGCATGCAAGGTTTTGAACAGTTTGAATTATTCTGTAGATGGTGAAGAGAATAAAATTTTCAAAAGAAAGCCAAGCAAAAATCCAAGGAGACCAACAAAAACGGCGAAGGTGAAGGAAAAGCCAGGATCGCCACTTTGGTGTCTTCGCCTTTTCAGCATGTCCTACACATTCAAAGACAACCAGTGTATTATTGGATATTAGTTTGTAATAGCTCTTAACTGCATGATGCATCATACAATTATTATAGATTTATAAGTGATGCCATCCAATGTGAAAACAGAAAGGCTTTTATTCAATGTTAATTTCAAGTCCAACTAATCACTCTACACTATGGAGGAAACATGTAACACAATTACCAGTTCCTGTTGAAGCTGCCGCGTTTGTCTGAGAACGGTCTCTCTTTCTTCCTTCAGGGCCTGTACAGCCTGACTCTTCAAGGAAAGAAAATTAGAGAATGAAAATGATACTTGAAACTATTTTTCATTTCCTTCACATTCAAGAATGAAAATGAAACTTGAAACTGAATTGCACAAAAGATGGTGGAAGAGAAGACACTCACAGAAGATGAATCAAGTTTTTGTGTGGAATTCTTCGCATCATCTTCAGAGCCTCCTTCGGTTGGGGCGGGGGAAATATACGAGACTCTTAGTTTCAAATCCTCTATTGAATTACCACTATCCTTAGTAAACTGCAAACAAAAATAACAGTATCCGTGATCATTTTTTTTCTTCTTTTCAGCTCATATAACTGATACAGTTGAGAGGACAATGTTGAGGACAGTTACTTTCTTACCGTATCTTGAGGAAGATCATCAACATCAGAATTTGGACTCACTATTGTACTCTGTAAGAGGAACTTGTCTTTACATTGCATGTCTGGAGGGTATTCATGTTGAGCTTGGAGAGTGACTGTACAAGTACAAAAATCGGACAATATGACAGATGCTAATACTACAGAATGCAAAAAGAACTCCAAGTTCAGGAAAAAAGTGCACATATCCGATTGATTTCGAGTCTAGTATCTCTGTATCATATGAAATGACCAATTACAAAATTAAGGTCCATATAGGATAGCTGTTTAGTAATGTGATCACATGCATATATCTACATTAAGCATTTCAATCTTTCTAAACTTTGAAGACCTTGAAAAAGGGTTTCAATTTCAAGCCAAAACGAAAAAGGGTGTTCTTATCAAGATCTTCTTTGGGTGTAATCAGAAGCGTCCGACTCAGACACAGACACACTTGTTTTCAAGGGTGTCGGTTCTACATAATAGACCCTGATTGAAACAATACTTGGCATGTTTGACTTATTTCTCGGCCGAACTCCGGATTACCAGGGCCGGGCACATTTTCCATTGGAACCAAAGGGTAAAGACAGAAAATTCCCGAAAAAGAAAAGTACCTCTGATGATACATGAATCCCAGGGATGTATAACTCCTGTATTTGGCCGTACAAAATACTTCTTAGGGGAAGTGGTTTTGACCTAGCAAACACCAAACAGAATGAAATGCAATCAGAATAATCGAGAGAAAAACTAGCATCAGAAATAAACGGTTGAATGTGAAGGTATCATAAATTACCTTGAAAGCAACATACTCCTGTGTGTTATTCAATACTTTAAGATCGCAAAATGTTTGCTTTTCCAGCTCAACTGGTTACATAATAAACATCATAACCATAACAACTAATTAAGATTACAACGTCATCAACGAAAAACAAAGGAAATAAATTCATATAACGATCTTTACAGATAGAAATCAAATGAAGAGAAGAAGAACATACATTGAAACCTGAGCTCGTCGGGAGTAATAGTGATGAGAGAAGTTGCAGTCATGACGAAGAGGATTGTGTTATGGTGGAATGGGGAATGAATTAGGAATAGAGAGAGAGAAAGAACATGGCAGCGGAAAAGAAGGGTGAAGAGAAGAGAAGAAAGGGAAATGAAACAAGTAATGGTGTAATTATGTGTGGTGTAACGAGGAAAAAGGGAGTACCAATGCAATACAAAATAACGCGATTAATTCGGCACCTGGATAGGTTCTCTAGTCTGGACTCTGAGCCAGTCGGAGTGAATAAGTCAAGGAGAGAAAATAATATTTTTACTAAAGTATCTTTATCATATATTAGGAATGACAAAAATAATATTAATTAAGGATAAAATTTTGAAAAAATGCATTAGAAATAAAATTGGATCATTCATTTTGAAACATTCATTTATTTCAAATGGATTACTCATTGTGGGACGGAGGAGTAATGAATTTTGTTAATGCAAAAAACACTAATTTGATACTCCCTCCATCCTACGATTCGAAGACCGTTTCATACATATTAAAAATTAAGAAAAATTAACAAATGAAAGAGAAAATAATGTTTTTATTAAAATAATCATTATCAAAGAGTAGAATTAAAAAAATTACATTTTAAAGGATCATTCATTTTGTGACACTTTTTTTATTTTAAATGAGTCACTCATTATGAAACGAAACGAGTATCTCTTTTGAAATTAATTAGATAAAATTACATGGAAGTTACAATGAATTTTTATTGTGGCTCCCGTTGAGGTTTTGAGTTAAATAATTCAAAGAGATTATTGGGTTTCAATCACCATCTCCGGTGGAGGTTTTGGATTAAATAATTTAGAGAGTTCGATGGATTTTGTTTGTCGCCCCCTGTGGAGGTCTTGGGTTAAATGACTCGGAATGTCCAGTGGATTCTGGTTGCCGCCCCTGTGGAGGTCTTGGTTAAATAACTCGGAGTGTCCAATAAGCTCTAGTTGCCACCCCCGATGGAAGTCTTGAGTTAAATAAGCTCTAAATTTTTACAATTGTTTGAAGTTGTATAACAATGTATATCAATTCCTAGAATTGATCTTCTCTATCAAGTAGGCAATTCTTAATATGTAATTGTTGGGTTAGAATATGATATCAAATTATTAATTAATTTGAATCGCATCTTTAGTTCACAACCGCTCTTTGATTTATCCGAAGGGAAAGGTCAAAAGAGGAAAACCTAATTTTGCATCGTAAAGACAATGCGGGGAGAGATCTAGGTAAGGGGTTGATTAAGCTTAGGGAAGGTATTAGCACCCTAAACTTCTGTAGTACTCTACAGGAACCTTTTGTTTATTGTATGCTTTTTTTATATTTTATTATCTGCTTTAATATATATTGAGCTAAGGGATAGAGTGACCTAAAGACCTAAGGGTTAGTCCTAAGTTTACTCGGCAAGACGTCGCATCTTGTGCCTACATATCCTAACGGGAATGAAATCAGAGTAATTGTAGTTCCCCTCGAAAGGGAGGTTAGAAACGTCTTGACTGAGGTCAAGGTTTCATTGGGGAGTAAGCGTTCATAGGGAAGCGCCTACGTGGAGTCTTGAAACTCTTATTTCTACGTTGAAATTGTTAATTGAAATTAGGGTTAAATTAAATATTCCACGGCGGGAAACCCTAAAACAGAGTACGACGACTCTTTGACCTAATGCTAGGGTAAAGAGTATTTTCGTCCACGGCGGGACACCTAGGCGAATATGGTTTTGAAATGGTCAAACGTTAGGGTTATTGACTCGGCGGTCAAACGGCTAGACCTAATCCTTCGGAAGGAATCCTAACGGTAAAAACATGCAAACAGACAAAATATCGTACGACCGAATTAAAATGCGGAAAAATAAAGAAAGCGGTAAAAGAAGCATCGCGACGATCACTCGCGTAAATTACAAATCCCAAAAACAAATGCAAAAATAAAAATAATTGCGATCATTGCCTCGCATAAATTACATCCATGAAACAAAAAAATAGTACGAACAAATGAAATATTGAGGAGTGCAACGAACAAACTAATGAGGGTTAGACGAAAATGAAGCGGCTAAATCAAAAACTTTATTTTTTTGAATTTTATTTAAAGGGAAGAACTAATTTTTGCATTTAAAAGGAGAACTTAATTTGATTTTAATGTTTTTATTTAAAAATTAGTTTTAATTTGATTAAAAAAATGATTTAATTTTAAGGTTTTTGATGAAAAAAAGTTAGTTTTAATTTTTGTAAAATGTTTTAATTTTAATGTTTAAACAATGGTTTAAATTTTAAAGCAAAAAAAAATGTTTTACTTTTTAAAGTTAAAAAATGTTTTTTAAAATTTATTTTAAAGAATTATTTTTAATTTTAAGTTTTAAATATGAGTCTTAATTTTAAAAACAAGGTTTAATTTTAATTTTATGATTTTAGCTTAAAAAATGGTTTAATTTTTTTTTATATTTTAATTAACTTAAGTAAACTAAGTTAATGAGATTAACAATTAGAAATATTTTTATTTTAACAGTTTTCATTAACCTGCATTATGAAAATTATATACCACAGCAACAATAAAATACTAATAACAATATAATAATAACAAAATAAATAAAAAGAATAGGAGGAAGAAAATTAGAAATAAAAGGGGGATTCGTAGCGGTGGCGGCTCCCTCATTGATGACGTTTTGAAGCTTTTTCTTTTTCTTTTGCATGACTATTCTTGCATCTTCTTCTTCCTCGCTTCGCCATAATCTTCTCTTTTTCCTATTAAAAAAAAAGAATAACTGAAACCAAATGTGATATTGATGAAATCTTACGAGTTACGGTTTGTTGGTGGTTTTTTCAAAAATCTTCCCTCTTCTGATAAATCGTGAGAACGACCGCCGTTTTTTCTTTTTGTCTCCTTCCTTTTTTTTATCAAATGCAACTCATGTTTATATAGGTAACAAATTAGGCTTAACTCTAACCTAATACCCACTTTAAAGCCCAACTTAAAGAATTAGTCAAAACTAAATAAAAGTTAAACAAATTAAAACAAACTTAAAACCCTATTTATTTATTAAACATTAAAAATATTATAAAAAGAATAAAATCTTTTTTAATATTTTTAATTTTATGATTTTTTAATGTTTTTATGAATAATATGAAAAATAGTGAAAATAAAAATATTTTTTAAAAAATAATTTAAATAAAAATACGAAAATAATAATTAAATAATAAAAAAAAACTATTTTTTTTTTATTTTTATGAAAATAGAAAAGTTAGAATAAAAATAAAAGAAAAACAAAAAGTGAAGAAGGTGGGATTCGAACTCTCGACCTCTCACACTCACAACTCCTCACACACGGTCTCTTGCCAATTGTGCCATTTTATTCATTCAGAATAAAGTGGCACTAGAAACTATGTAAAGGTAGGACAAATTTGGGGTGCAACAGATGCCCCTATTTAAATAGCTTCACCGGATGATTTGAGCAGCGGAGACTCGAGAAATCGCGGTGAAAGGGATTTAAATACAGATAACCGAAAATTTGGCCCCTAGATGCAGTGATATGCAATGATATGGACAAAATAACACGAACTGTAATGCTGACAATGTCATGAATCTAATATGATGCGTATGATGGAATGATGAATGCAAGGATGCAGACGACACGACGTCATAGGGGACAGCGCAACGAAGAATTGCACTGGGGAAGAAGACATGCGGTGGTGACAAGGTAACATAGGATCCACACGGAGACAGGACCAGGTAAACGACAGACGCTAGAGTTTTCGGGACATTCCTTGAAGAGATCGAGCGGGATCTTCAGGACTCACCGGAAAACATATAGGCAGAGACAAACATCAGAATATTTCGGAAGAACGTCGAAAAGGAGACACGTCGTATCTGGAAGAACGTCAGATAGACATGACACGAAATAGTCGATGGGTGCCAAGTAAACTGGACTTTGTCCACAAGGTAAGACGCGGATAAAACACAACCTCGGGGAGAAAAATGCAAATGGGGATAAAACACCCATGCTGCCAAGTAACTAAATTCGTCCACAAGGTAAGACGCGGATAAAACACGACCTCAGGGAGAAAAATGAAAATGGGGATAAAGCACCCATGATGCCAAGTAAATAAATTCGTCCATAAGGTAAGACGCGGGTAAAACACGACCTCGGGAGAAAAAGCAAATATGGATAAAACACCCATGATGCCAGGTAAATTGGACTACGTCCATGAGGTAATACGCGGGTAAAACACGACCTCGGGAGAAGAAGCAAATGGGGATAAAACACCCATGATGCCAGGTAAATTGGACTTCGTCCACGAGGTAATACGCGGGTAAAACACGACCTCGGGAGAAGAAGCAAATAGGGATAAAGCACCCATGATGCCAGGTAGATTGGACTTCGTCCACGAGGTAAGACGCGGGTAAAACACGACCTCGGGAGAAGAAGCAAATGGGGATAAAACACCCATGATGCCAGGTAAATAAATTTGTCCACAAGGTAAGACGCGGGTAAAACACGACCTCGGGAGAGAAAAAAAAAAGCAAATGGGGATAAAGCACACATGATATGCACATGTATAAGAATTATGCTATGATATATGATCACATGCAAATGCAGATGTCGATGACAAGGCTCGATTCTGTTGGTGAGATGACAAAACTGGAAGACTGATTCCTCAACCCATACATCATTGTCATTCTATTAAACTGTATCAAGTTGATAGTCCTTGTAGGAAGGATGAAAAGCCGCTTAGAGATCTTTCAAGTAAACTGCCCCAGATTAAATTGTCCATTACAGATGAACTGATAATTGCTTCAGCTTGTCTGATTCTGAAAATGACTGTTTTATTGTACCCTCGGAAGGTTTGCCCTAGTGTGAGTCTTGAAAAAAAAAACCTTTGGATAAACCAAATCTGAGAAGATCTTGTCTTGAACAAATCTTGAACTGATTCTTTGACAGGATGTAAAAGGAACTTGCCCCTGATAAGATCACTTGACCAAGTTTCTCATTGTTTAAAAATTCCTTAGAGGAAAGCCAGTTTGCAAA